AAACAGGAAAATCACTATGAATCCGATCTAACTAGTCAGACCCTGTACACCCTATACACCCTGTCCTAAAATCACTAGAAAAAATAAAATGCCAATTAAAACAATGCTGAGAAACCATTTTATGGCTATCATAAAGAAATCAATGAATCACAAATGTTGGAGAGGACAGGGGGAAAAATTAACCTTTCTCCACTGGGGGTGGGAATGTAGACTCGTACAATCAGTGTGGAGACTCCTCAAAAACTAGGACTGGAAATCCCTTCCAATCTAGCTATTTCTCTTCTGCTTATCTTCCCCAAAGCATTGAAAACATCATATCATAGTGATAATTGTGCACCCATGTTTATAAAAGCATAATTTATCATAGCTAAATCTTGCAAATAATCAAAATGTCTATCACCTGAGGAATGAATGAAAAAGATTTTTTTTGTTTTGTTTTGTTTTGGTGGAACCAGGGATTGAACTCAGGCCATTGCCCTTGCCAAGAAAGCTCTTATTCCACTGATCCATCTCCCTGGCCCCAAGATGTGGTATTTTTATACAATTTAGAACTACTCAGCTATAACGAAAGATAAACTCCACTACTTTATAGGAATGTGCGTGCAGCTAGAGGCTATACTGACAAGTGAAATGAATCAGACCCACAAATGTCAGTACTGCATTGTCTTCTTAGTGTCAGAACCTGAAAGAATAAATGAAACATGAAAGGTATATTAGATATAGTGAAATGGGAAGAAAGTGAACTCAAAAATTAAACAATGACAATGAGAGAAAGGAGAAAAGATAGGGAAAAAAGGAGGAAAAAATGTGAAGTATATAAAGGATGGCTGAGATAATTTTACTCACAATTTTCATGAGTTTTTTTTTAAATAGCAGTTAATGTTTGGAATTCTCACCATGACAAGCTCACTGTAGTGATATCTACGATCTGAGTAACTACATGTGTAATTCAAAACCCATGGTTGAATGCCTCCCATCTTGGTCTTCTAAATGTGTGCTGTTTCTAGTGTCTTAGCAATTATTATACTCTCTTGAAAATCAATTAAACAAAAAAGACAAGGAAAAATTAAGTTGTCTTGAAAGCAAATGCCAATATTCAATTATTTTCCCAATCTTGCATAACTATACCCATTAAACTAAGCAACAATTTGAATAATAAATGTAGATAATGAAACAACCATTGTTAATCAGCTATTCTTGTTTTGAAAATCTGTAACATATGCATTGTTGTATGTTACCCTATTTCTGCATTTTTTATTTGCTTTTGTTGTTTTTAACTATTCAAAGTAAAATAAAATAAATTATCGCAAATAAAAAAACACAGTTCTAGCTCTGCACACAGTTTTGTGTGCCATGTGGATGGGGCAGGGGCTTAATCCAGTTCTCCTTTAGTGTATCCTACACAAAAGGCTCTAATAAATCCTCAGTGAGTCAGGAAGTACCTCAGAGGCCTGAGTTCTTCTAATGACCCTTCCTCAGGACAAGAGGGATATCTTCTTCTGGCAAGAAAAAAGTACCAGTCCAGCAGTGTGTGCAGGAGGCTGTGCAGTGCCAACACATGTGGTCCCCTAGGAGACGGTGCTCTAAAGTGAACAAATTCGATTTGTTCAGGTAAAATTTTCATTTCTAGGAAGACTTAGAGAAGTTGAGATGGGCTGGGTTATTGTGCACCCTTTTCAAGTCTACCTACTGTGGTGCAGACATTTAAGTTACCAAATCAATCTCAATTCCACATTGTCCTAAACACACTAGCAGGGTGAGTTCTTGTTTTTCACTTGGTAGCAGTTGTGTGTATTTCTCCTCACAATATCATCCAATTGGGGCTGGGGAAATGGCTCAGTAGAATAAGTGCTTCCCTGGCAAGGGTCTGAGTTCAATCCCCAGTTCTGATATATATATATATATATATATATATATATATATTCCAATGTTAGCAGGGTGAGAATTTTCTCCTGTGTTTAGTTTATTGGCCAACTTGCCAACCTGTGCACCTTTCCCACATGTCAGATAAAGGTCCTTGTCTGAACACCAGGACATAACTTCAAATAAGGACATTGCTGTGTGAGAGGCTCACAGCAGAAACAGGACACAGGAGGGGCTTAGATCTTCATATTGAGATCCACAAAGAAGCACTCACCCCTCCTTAGAGGGTCTCAGAGTGTGGAGGTGTTCAGCCCCCACAGTTTCTTTTTGTTCCTCTGCTGTGGTGTGCGTGGTCCTGGCTCACCTGTACCTTGTCAGGGAGCTGTGAGTCTGACCATCTACTTGAGCTCATGCACCTGCTCATAGGTTCTGTGGGCCTTTTCTAGTAACTCATCCATTAAAATCTTAGAAATATGTTAAAATGGTCTCCAAAACTGTCCTAGTTTACCTCCCGCGAGAAGCAGGTGTGCTTTCGTGTCATGCTGCTTCTCACCGACTGAAAAGGTTTGGAAGTATGTGTGCTATTTTCTCAGGCACGTAACCCAGGTTCTACCCATCCTACTCCAAAGGTAACTTTCATGACACCGGGAATGCTGTAATTGATTAATTTCTAGGGTGGGCAAAGACAGGCGGGGCTTTCTATGTGCTGTGACTGAAGGCAGGTGATTGGGGCTAGTTCTCCTGGGAATAGGGAGCAGCATCACCTGTTGATTTTTATTTTCTAAATGCAGACATGTTTTGGTGCCTTGGACACAGGGTTTTGTACACCTTGAGGTACATATCATTTCTCTGAGTATGCAAATAAATTCAGAAACAGCTGAGTTCAGGTGGGAAGGAGTGGGAACAGAGTGACCTCTAGATGACCTCACAGTAAGACAGTGCTGACCTTGTCATTTAATGTACAGGGATAATAAGAAGATCCTAAGGCCACTGATGCTCAGGGTCTTCCTCTATCAAATGGGTTTGAAAAGAAGTTTTCACTGTAGTACCATGAAATCTTACAAATGTAGTAAAACCCCTGGCAGAATGCCTCATCTAGATGGAGTATATGTTGATAATCTGGTGGTGCTACAACAATCATATGTCTGGAAGACATATTGCTATTTCTGGAATGTGTGTGTGTGTGTGTGTGTGTCTATATCTGTGTGATTTGAGAGGAAGCTGCAGCTCATTGTGACACTGAGCAGTGAAGCAGGCTAAAATCCTACTTATTAGACATTCTCCAGTAATTCTCCCCATTAGGACATACTACTGGACTTGATATTGGGGACTGTAACCATGATGGCGCCAAATAACTCAAAGCTCCTGATCTTAAGTGAAGAAACATGTTCCCCTCTGGGTCACCACATCTTCAACTGGACAAGCTATTGTCAGTCACATTATGTTCAGCAAATCCAGTGCTTGGGTCTCATGAAGCTACTATGACACTGAGGTCTAAATCCATGGCCAGTCTAGTGACAATGTGCTCAGCACCAACATAATGACAAGAAGGTTAAAGCAAATTTCTTCACTTTGACATTGCTAGCATAAACATCCTTCAGAGAGAAGTAACTGAATCTGGCTGTGGCTCAGTGCTGGTACAAGACAGGAGAAGCCATTTTCAAATTCTGAGAAGGATCTCAGGAGGGGGAACCTCCTGGTCAGGTAGTCATCTGGTCAATCATGAAACTGGGAAATCCACTGCCCAGATGCTGGTAGCCATCCTGTAAAGGCATTAAGGCAAATGGGACGAAGGAGAAGTGATCCCAGGAAAGCAGGCAACTGCGCACTGCAAACCCAGGACAGCAGACAATCCCAGTGGACTGGAGAGGACCAGGTCACGGATACTAGGGCTGCACTTCCCCTGAGAATCACCATATCTCAGGAAATCCTTGCACAGACTGCACATAAGTGCCCTGGATCCTGCTCTACACAGGTCCACTTATCTCACGGGTTTCCCAGGTGAAGATTCCTCTCAGCTTCACCCACCATCTAAAAATATTGCTCAAAAACTAGATAAAAGGGGCAGGGGAAATGGTTCACTAGAATAAGCGCTTCCCTGGTAAGTGCAAGGGCCTGAGTTCAATCCCTGGTTCCTCCAAAAAGAAAAAAAATATTGCACAGGGCAGTCTTCTATCCTCTGTGGCTTTTATCACAGGCCCAATACACCTTGGCTGAGGGTCAGGCACTGGCCCCCTTGTAGCTACTGGAAGATCAGCTTCTTCAGAAGGAACTGCAGTCACGTACAGCACCACATCTCCTGGCTCAGCACTCAGGCACAGGTGCTCCCCACTAGACCCCTTCCACTCAGGGCTCTTTTGCAGGTCATGAGGTCCTGGAGGCCATCTCTCTATCCCAGAGATTGTTGGTGTTCCTGGACTCCGCCATCCCTGGGGGTAGTTTAATCAGCTCAGTGGCGTGTACTCACATCCCCAACCAAGACACAGGGCCTTCCAAAGGGCAAAAGGGCAGTGAAGGATTGGGGTCAGTGTGCAAGTGAATAGATAAGGTGGTATAATGACATTAACTTTCTCTCATATAAGTGAAAAAACTGGGAAAGTGGAATTACATGTGCACTTGTAATAGCAGAGACTAATATAGAAATGGAAATAGGCAACAGAGACTTGCTTTCTATCCTCATGCCTTTTGGAGCTCCACCTAACCTGATGGGAACATCTTACACATTTCCCAGAACATTCATATTCCAACACTAGCATATCTTGTTCAATATCTGAAAGAAAATAGAATTCCCTTTTAGTTTTACAAAAAATAAAGTCTTTTACAACTTTTAAGGAAAAGATAAATTTATCTGTCATCACTATCCTAAGAAATCAGTCTCACATCAGAAATCACAATCAAGCACTAAATCACTAAATTAAAGAGACATGTGACTAATACCATTCTTCAGATAAGATGAGCACACTATATCTTATAAAAAAGGAAAACTACTTCAAACACTCAAGAAATCGTTTGCAAGTAACACACATGGGATAGACATCAACATGGCATGGACTGTAATTCCCCATCCACTCTGTCTCTTCATTACTGAGAAAGCTGACTGCTCTCCAAAATCTCAAGTGGTAATCTGCCCTCATTTCTCAATGGGTGAGAACTAAGCTAGTGATACTGCTGTGGAGCACTCCCTGGCCCTGGTATTGCATTGCCCCCTCCATGGTCTGAACCTGTTTCCTGGCAGCCTCTATCTCCTCGCTCAAAGCCTGATCACATAGATGTGGGTAAGAACTAGGATTGATCTTATTCATCTTGGACAAATGCTCCAGGATTCTCATCTTGGTGATTTCAGCATAAGCCCTAGGGCCCCACAGGAATTGATGGTGAGCACAGTGACTACCGGGCAACTGCTGATACTCTAGGTATCCTGCCTGTACCAAGTCCTCAGTGATGAATTTCCACCTGTCCCCAGGAGGAAAGTTCCTGTTGGGTAACATCTGCCTCTTTCTGACCACCTCCCTTATGTCCTCCTCACTGGCACAATTACCCCTTACAAAGATGACCATCAAGATCACTAACAGGAGGTCAATTTTGGGAAAAATCTGTTCACCACCCTCTGTGCCTTTACAAGTGAGGCCCAAGAGAGGGACAAGGTCATAGGTGTGGCCAAGGGAATTTGACTTACTCACATTGATTCCAAAGCCAAGACACATGCACTCACAGACTTCCTTGAAGATCAAAGGGAAGTGCTCATGGTCACTGTGGTCCATGAGGTGCAACATTTCTGCCTCGGTCACCAGCTCTTTCTTTTGATACTTGAGGAGCACGAACTCTACCATTGTAGCTGCCTTGTCACCTATGAATACACGTCGCAAGATCTGAGGCACTAGCACATCCAGTGAGTTGTCTGGATCGTCGTTCTCACTGCTGGAGATCTGGAATGTTTCGCGGCTTTCACTGGAGTCCATGGTAATGCAGAGAGAAATCGCTCCTTAGTATTATGGGAAATCTTGATGTCCCTGCCCGAGCCCAGTCACTGTCTTCACCTACGATGTGTGTACAGGAGATAGGAGAGGCAGAGGATGCAGTGGCTACTACTTCCTTCCTTTATACTGTGAGTTCCTGCTCCTCTACTATTCCAAAGTCTGACTCTGGCCAGGATGGCTTCCTCCCACCTTACTGCTCTGTGTCCACTGTCCACGAAGATGTCCTTGGAGAAACAAACAAAGTGGTAAGGAGCATTCAGATGCCTGGAGGACAGAGGGAGCCTGTGAGTGCACTCAGGTGAGAACAACGATGCTGTCAACTCCCATAATGGCTCGATGTCAGGTCTTTTCCTAGAATGGTGCTCTACGGCCTCACTGGCTTGTGGTCCTTGCAGATCAGACAAAAGAACCTCAGAGAGGAACTGATAGCACTCCTGGGGTCCGTTTCCTGAGTCCACCCACTTACTACTACTTAGAGCTGTGAACATTTCCCCATTCAGCACCCTTCACTGGGAGCTGCAGGCTGCTAACAGTGGGAGCCAGGCTCTGTCCACACCAGGTTTATGGGTATGGATTCCCTCCACACCTTTGTGCTGGACAATGCTGATGTGAAGAGCAGCAGCAATTTGACAGCTCTAGGATCCAGAATCCAAACTCTCACATTTAGACCTTTGTGGGAGGGAAATAGAGCAAAAAGAGAATTGCAGCCAGAGGACTCCAGAAGGATCTTACAGGCCACTTTAAAATTATACAAAAATGACAAAGAAAGATTAAAATGCAATTAAAGGGCAAAAAGGTGTGGAGTTGTTCCTTGATCCTGACTCATGGGAAAGAAAATTGAATCTGTGGAACTGGAAACAAACCTGGTAACTTCTTGCAGTTCCAAGGACAAAAGGAAGGGGGTCAGTTGATTGTTAGTTGTTGTGTTCTGCATGGACTGTGTGCAGTTCTGCTCACATATGTCTTGACAGTTAATGAATGATCCCTGAGCAGGTATCTACCCTGTCCTTGGAGAGTCTCTGGCCTTGGGATTATCAAAGTCAGAGAATGTCAACTTGGGATTCAGATCAGCCCTGGAATAGCTTCACTTCTGGATACACAGGATTATCTTCCTCTGATGAGAGACAGACTCAGGAAACAGCCTTGAGCCAGGAAAAGGCTGGAAAGAAGAAAAATGAGGCATTTGAGCTCAGCTGGGAGAGACAGAGACCCTAATGCCATGGATCAGAGATAAGGACCAACCTGAATGGCTGTGGATATAAAAGTCTTTGTATTTGGATATCAGAGCCCTTACCCTGTGTCCTGTATCCATCTGGGGTCTGGATTCCTTTATTTCCACCACTGGGAGCAGGGACACAATTTGACTGAGACACAGCTCCAGCCTGGGGAGAATAGTGGGGCTCAGGGAAACTTTAGCCTTGCTGCCCTTCAGTATTCTGAATTCTGGGTAGAAACTATTAATTCAAGTTTAAAATGAATTTTTTCTCATTTTCCTCTAATTTTTCTTTAGCTCAGATGAGAGAGGCATACAAAACTTCAAACAGATAAGAGCAAAAAGAACCCTTTAATGTCACATTGTTGTCAGAATACTAGCCATTCAACACAGGGGCAAAATGTTAAAAGTTGTAGGCTGTCAACCCGTTGAAGCCAGGCTCAAAATGGAAACCCAAAGACAACAAACACTACATATGGATTAAAAGGGCAATCCAAGGGCAAGAAATGGTAGTTCGAAACATGAAATCACCTAACAGGGCACATGAAACTTCTGAAAATGAACACAAATAGAAATAAAAGGTATGATGAACAGTAATATAATCAGGAAACCTGATATCCCACCATCAAAAATAGACAGATCTTCTAGACAAAAAAAAGTCGACACAGATATATTAGTGTTGAATCAGCTACAGTGCTTCACCCAGACCCAACTAAATACACATTCTCAGCAACATACAGGACTTATTTTGTCTTTTTCAGAAATGATTTCACTATGCAGTTCAGGCTGGACTTGAACTTAGTTTGTAGTGTAGGCTAGACTTGAACTCATGACAGTTCTCTTGTCTCTGCCTGTGAAGTGCTGGGAATCCAAGGATGCACCACCAGAGCTGGCCTAACCTACAGGAATTTCTCAAAAGCAGATTCTATTCCAGCTGATAAAGCATTTCTTTAGTAGGTGCAAAATAATCAAAATTATTTTGTCCATAGAATACATTCATGGTGTAATAAAAGCAGAAGTCAAAGACAAAAGACAAAAGTGATGAAACACAGAATGTAAATATTCTGATATATATATATATATATAATAGATCAACAGAGAAAAAAGACATAAAATAGAAGGAATTGATATTTATCCATGTGACTGTTTCTACACTCAATCCAACTTGATGTAAACACAATGTAAACATTTCCAAGAAAAATTCCATTCCAAATCTCTTTTATCACAACTATATAATCTTCAAATAAGAAGCCCCACTGGATTCACTGCCAAATTCTTCTAGAATTTAAGAGAAGATTATATGAAAATTGTCCTCAAAATATTTAATGAAATTGGAAGGGAAGCAATAATTCCAAAGGGGTTCTTGAATGCAAGCATTACCCGGATCCCAAAACCAGAAAAAGAGACACCCACAAAAGAGAGCTACAGTCCAACTCTTTAGTGACCTTCGATGGATTTTTCCTCATAAAATACCAGTAGGTGGAGTGCGCAAATTCTGCACACAATCATACCTCATGACCATTCAAATTGATTTTAGAGATGCAAGCATGGTTCAAAGAGCCAAAATTACAAAATAAAAAAAAAAACACTGCTTAAAGAAAACACAAAAATGCTCAATCATCCGAATAGATACAGAACAAATACTTGCCATAATAAAATGTCTAGATATGAAGAGAATCCTGAAAAAATAAAAAGAACCATATTTCAAATTCATAACTGCTTTATCAATACCCAAATGTTAAATGCACTTTAAATGTTGAGAAAAGAAAAGTTTTTCCTCCACAATAGCAAGAAGACAAGGATTTCTACTCTCTCTCTTCCTGTGTGATATCAATCACAACACTGGTTAGAAGAGTCAGGCAAGTAAAAGAAATCAAAGACAAATTCATAGGATAGGAAAGATTTGATATGAGAGGCTGGAGAGATAGCTCAGTAAATGAGTGCCTACCAGACAAGTGCAGAGTAACGAGTTCAATCCTTGGTATTGCCAAAACAGACAAACAAACAAAGACAGACAGACATGATACTCTACACACAATATCTCCCCATATCTTCCAAAAATTCTCAAATTTAGTGACTACACTCAGTGGCCTGGCATTTTATAAATTCAATACACAAATTCAGTAGGAATCCTGCACAGTACTAATAACCTCACAGAGAAAGAAATAAGGGAAGCAGTAACTTTCTCGATAATATCAACAAATACTAAATACATAGGAATTAACCAAATTGGGAAAGTGAAAGGCCTCTACAGTGAAAAGTAGAGTACTCTGAGAAATGAGATGAAAGAGGACAGCAGAATATGGAAAGATATCCCATTCATGAATATAGTCAAAGTGAACATAACTTCAAAGTCACTAATTTACAAACTTAACACAGTCTCCATTGAAATAACCATACCATTCCAGACGAAATCATAGAACACAGTCCTATAATTTATATGGAAGCAGAAGGAACCAGAACAGCTAAAGCAATGCTAGGCAACCAGGGCAAGACAGGAAGCATCACAATCCCGCTGCTCAATTTAAAGTACAAACATGGCCATGAATAGAGCATGGTACTGGCAATTGACAGCCTTTTTGATGAAGGACATAGAAGAGAGTATATGGAAACAACACCCAAAATGTTTCTAGAACATTTCAGGATGGTCTTACTGAGGTGAGCATTTCTGTGGGCCACCAACAGCCCCTTCCCTCACTCTCTGCTCTTCTCAAATGGAGTTTGGTCCTCGGAACAAGACTCTGATATCCTCTCACGGGATACTGAATGGAAAGGTGATGTGCTCCTGCTGTACCTCGTGCTACTGGACATGGAATGGGCTGCTTTTCTGTTTTTCATTGTCAATAGACGTAGATAAAAAAGAAATGAAAACAATGTTACAACATTTCCAAAGGGGCTAGTAAAAAGTTAACAATGGTTAATATATTGCATATTACTGTCTTCATAGTTTTTCATATGAGAAAAAATAGGCATGTAAAATTATTCAGCCAATATAAGCACAGACCAGTCTCTGACATGAACTAAAAGGTATTGATGGTAATTATATCATTAATATATATATATATATATATATATATATATATTCCTTTCCCCCACCCTAGTTGTTCTTTTCCATTCATCAATTTCTTTAACTTTGTCAATATCTATTGTAGATTGTGTGCCTTACTTACTCTTTTTGTATCTTACACTGGGCAATGACTTTTCTAGTGTTCTGTGTCCTGCTCTCTGGGATTGAGTTCTCCTCACTATTCCCATGGTATTCCAATTATCTTACCTGAGTACAAGCCCACCTCCTTCCTCCCTCCTGAAGCAAGGCCCTTGGCACAAGGCTCTGAGTCTGCACTCTGGGCCCTCTGAGGCAAACTCTAGGCCTCATGAGAGGAACCTTGCCAAGAGTTCAGGGATAACCACAGGGTAAATCACAATTCTTCAAGGCAACCTTGTCTGCTGTGTGGCTCCTTTACATCTAAACCACCTCTCATTGTGCCATCTCACTGAGACCAGTCCTCCACAACCACTCACCTAAAACTTGCACCTCTGAAGAGGACTTTCTTTAGCCCTGACCCAAAGCAGTTGAGATAATTGCATTTAAGATCCAGGAATTGATGAGAGATATCCTAGGGCTCACTATAGGAGCAGAAATTAATTCCTCAGTCTCCTCCACCTCCTTTGATCAACACATCAGGTCCTGGCAGAGCCTGTATTGCAGTCACCTGTGGACCTGTTTCTATCCCCTATGGTCCTAGGACCTAATTCACATGGTCCCTGA